CGTTTATTCTGAGTCCTGTTATAACTGTTTATGTCAATATATTCCAGTTTGTCTTTATGTCCACTCTTAGATAGGGCTTCCTCATAAATTGTTTTATTGGCCTTGAAAATGCCTTTATTAGAGGAATTGGTTGAAAGTCTATAGCTAATGTTTTTTGGAATATGTCTTATGATATGGGCTGGGTGATTGGATTTTACATTTAAATATTGGGGGTCCTGGTTCTCTTTATACGGGGATATAGTATTATTTTGTAAGTTTAACATAATGTCTAAATAATTGGCAATTTTCAGATTGGTTTCAATTTCAAGATTGAATCCGAATTTTCTAAAAAACCAGTGTAGTTTTTTACGGATAGTGTCACATTTTTGGGGGTTACTCTTATCCACTATAATTAATCTGTCGTTGCGGTATAACCCATGGTTATTAAAATCTATATAGTTGTTAAGCCTATAGAGCAGCAGGCACCCTACTAACTTGCACACCCCTGCTCCATCATATGCTCCCATGGGGTTGTAAAAACTGTTAACATTGTCTTTTTTTTATCCATATTACATTATTATGGAATAGTAGTGTTTTTCAGCAATGTCTAATCAGGTTTATTTTATCGTCCGAAATTTGGATATATTCTTTAGCTAAACAGAGGGCTTCATTAAGGGTTTTCTCTGAGATAGACGGGTAATATTCCTTAATATCGTACCTAATGAATGAGCACTTCTCATTTTTGTTATAATTTTCAAACCACTGAATGCAATCATTAGTCGATTACCATTGATTTATGTTAAGGAAAGTCCTTAGGGATTTGCATATATCCTGCAAAATTACCTTACTTATCCTACTTAATTCTGTTTGGGTAGGGTTTATGAGTCTATATTCAGGGTTATTAAGGAAATTACTTTTATGATCTTTTATAGTGATAAAGCAATATATATAGTTACCTATATATATATATATATATATATATATATATATACATATACAAGGATGTACTGAAAAGTTCTTATTTGGGACAATCCCTCCTTGGTTGTCCCAAGAAAAAAAAAGTAAAATAGTGACAGACAAGATACATGTGTGACTATTTATGTTGTTCCTCTTCAAATTAAACACAGGACAGGAACAAAAGTAAAAAAGATGACTAATAAAGCCTATAGAATTGAGTTGATTGGAAACAGTATGTGCTGTAAATGGTTTGCAAAGTTGAAGAAGGAAATTTGATGTGAAGAACAAACCATGCAGCCCTTAGAATTTGTAGAGATAGCTTGTAAGATCTTTCGAATGATGACCTTTACTCAATCAGTTATGGAACTGGCTGAAAATCTTAATAACAGATTACTTCATAGTTGTAAGATGTTTGCAAAAGATTAAAAAAGTACAGAAGTGTTTCAGATATAAACAAAGGAAAATTCCTTAGTTTCACCAGTTCTAATCTTCATGGCTAAGAACCACTGTGCCAAGCACATTGTAGCAAACCACTCTCACTTCCTTTGTATTTCATTGGTGAGATGTAAGTTTCACTTGATTAGCGTCTTCACGTGAACCACTGCTTTGTGGAACTGACTGCCAAGAGGATGCTTCCCTGATCACTATAATCTTAAACTCTTCAAGTCTTCCCCAAATATCCCTATAAATTGTGCCTCTTACTATGAAAATCTCTAGCTTGAGTGGCTGTTGGGTCTTGTACAGGGTGAAGAGGATGCTTCCCCGATCATTACAATCTTTAGCCTGATGTAACCAGCTCCATGTATACTCTGCCATAATATATGACAACATCATCACAAATAACATAAGAAGTCAAGTAAAAAGTGATACTTTGAGAGCCAATATTTGGGGGGAAGGTCTGAGAATGTTGATTTGGTTTGGTTTGATTTGTTTTATGGCATATCAACATCTATGTTTTATTTAATGTTGACAAAATTTTTATTGCTAGTAATATTTTAATATTTTGTTTTTCCAAAAATGTATCGCTGGTAATATTTTTTTCAAAAATGTATCGCTGGTAATATTTTTTTTCTTCAAAAATTTATTGCTGGTAATAATTTTTTTCTTCAAAAATTTATTGCTGGTAATAATTTTTTACAAAGTATTTCTGGTATTAAGACCTATTTTTACACTTTCATAGTGTTTTGACCCCAGTTTGGGGGTTAACTATTTCCCCATAGCTAGGACCCTAACAGGTGCTACCACCCCAGATCAGGGTGGACCTAGGAAAACCAGCTATTAAGAGGTGGTTCCACGCTCTTCAAACCACCTGATCTGAGACTTTGCTGTTGGAGGTAGTTTATTGTTTACCCAGGATGTGGATGTAGTTTAGCATCTTACCCAGGATGCTGAGAATGTTGAATGCTAAAGGGTTAAACCTTAAAATATTAACATTCTTATATTGTATGCTTACCATTCCTTTGCCCATTGGTGGAGGTTTACTTTCAGTAAATGGAGCAACGTTGGAAACGGTCACCCATGCACGTGATACCTTCTTGCCAAAAAACACAACATGATAAAATTTCTGTATAAAATAAAAAAAGTGGTAACAGTTAAAAGATTAAAAATGACACAAATTTCATCATATATATTTTATATTATTAAATAAGGAAAATGTAGTAAAATCAATAAACAGAACATTTAGCTTCATCAGAAAATTTATGAAAGTGAAATAATGCATAGATATGATTCAATTTTTTTTTGGTTGAGTAGATATCAAATGTATATCGTATGACATTAGTATTTGTATATGTAGTAATTTTTAAATTCTATATTTTGTTTTCATTGGTTTACTTTATATCACATGTATATCTGGTTTGAAATTGTCTAATTTATTCATTTCATCAAATCTTAATTTATATAAATTTTTTCTACAAATACACTTCAAGCCTGTATTGAAGGGTTTAAACACTTCAAAAATATATTTTATGGTGCAAATTAAAATTTGATTGATTTGCTATTTTAAAGTTCTTTTTTATTTTCAAGTATTGAAATAATCAGCACTGCAATCTGCTATTGTAGAATATTTAATCAGTCTGTACGAAGCAAAAGTTCTTTTGCTAAACATTTTCTGTTTTTTTTTTTTCGGTCATGTTCTAAAATGGCTGACATGTTCAGTTAGGCTCATATCAGAAGATGATGGAGTTATGAGTCTTACTTGATGATTTTCTGGATTTGCCATTCTTGTATTTATAGAGAATCATCCACTATGAAATAGGTGTTTTTTTTGGGGGGGGGATAACTAAGTGTATATTGGAAGAATGCAGAGACTGGATATGTATTTTTCGGAATTCCACCTTATTTTTGGAAATTTTAAATGTCCACTATTCCATGTTGTTTTCCACATCATAAACAGAAGTCTACCATTATTTACTGTTGGACTGATGTCCTCATCATTATTATCATGTTTCAAATTGTTGCACCCTCCAGTCTACTTCAGCTGTCTGTCAATCCAGGTAACATACTGAACCCTTTATTTAATCTACAGGGGTAGATTGTTCTCATTCTGCTGTCTATATCTAGGGATATCTTTGTCTTGTTCTTTTTAGTACTGCTCAATTATTGCTTATCTTGCTTCTACCAAGTTTGAACTACTTGACACACTGATTGAACTCACAATTACTATGCAACCAAAATCATGAATCAACACTTTAATTTTCTAAGCTATAATAACAAAAAAGATGAGGACATTAGTCTAAGTGTAAATAATGTAAATAATCATAACTCCTCATCCCAAAACTTTACACAGAAGATATCTACCATGTTTGATAGTGGGATGCAGATGATTCATATGAAATCCTTTGTTTAAGATTTCATCAATCATTTTCACAATGTAAAAAAGTGAGCAAATGATGATATACCTATTACTGTCAGTCTTGTCAAGAGTAAAAGCTAAAACAACTTTTCCTGAGCCTATCAACTCAATGAATATCTAGACTGCAGTTGGTAATCACTTAAAATATAAAATCTGCAAACGTAATACAAATTTTGGTTGCAGTTGTGGTTGTGAAAGTCATGCTAACACATTTTTTTTAAAAATATTGTCATATAAGTTATTTTGATCAAGGTCTTGTCACAGGATCCCAGTTACATGACAAAGAACAGAGAGAAATAAGTAGGGCGAGACTGTATAAGTAACACTTATGCCTTTAAAGAAAACATATATCCAAATCCTTTTGTAATGTTATATTAATTACATTGATGAAGATCTTGTCACTAGTTTCTTAGACTACACTTATAGTAGAGTGTATATTGGTATGTCATGCGAATACTCTTAGAAAAAGCCTATGTTCAACTCAAACTTTTTTTGTCATGTTATATTAATATTCTTAATGTTATTAGCCTAGGGAGGTGAACACAGTGCCCAGCACCTTTCGAAAATGCATATAAAACCACACCATTGGTTGACCCAAGCCTTGTGAGTGAAAATATGTAGACAGAACTGATCAGAAGCCATCAAGGGTTGTGTTAGCACAAAGTCAAAAGTTATCTGATATGATTTGACAGAGGACATGAAACCCAGTGTGTAGCACCTCTGGAAAGTGCCTGAAATCTATACCCTTGGTTAACCCAAGTGTTGTGAGTGAAATTAGGTAGATGGAAATGTTCAAAAGCTGTTGATGATTGTGCTCACATGTAAATCACTAAGGGTTTGGGCATACTGGCCTTGCTCAAAAAATTGATCATGCTTCTCTCTCAGAAACTGTTCAACTTAGTTACAGTATGAACAATAGAGCAGGCCTCTGTAATAGAGTTTGGCTAGTCAGCCTAACAGACAAGTATGCTCAGAAATGAATAGTACCTGGCTGTTATTATATTTATTATCATGATAATGATTTTTTGCCACTGGCATCCTTCCATAGCAAATAACTGTGAGAACCAAGTGAATAGGATGTTGTCTTGCTAATGGCCATTAGGGAAGACTGGTTTTAGAACTATGGTATTGCACACAATTTGAAAGTTGGGGTTTCACATGATAAATAATGATACAAAATATTTTTTTACAAATCATTACCGTTTTTTGAGGAAACAAGTTTAAAAGATTGAGTTTAAGTTCAAAATCGTGGTGTTAGAATTTCATTTCAGTGATCATTGAAAGCCTTAATAAAATGTATAATTTACTGAAGCTTTACAAATTCATGGCACAAGCACATTATTACTAAATCATTGTGCCCTTAAATATAACCAAAACCTGTGGAAACTAGGTATTTCTGTACATTTTCTCAAATGACCTTTAAAACTAAATGCTCAAAAATTAGTAAAACTATTAATCTAAGTTTTGCTATCAGTCATTATCATATGAAACTCCAGCTCTCACACTGAGTGCAATGTTTATTTGCTAAAAAAGTAAAAAGTTAACTTTTCCTAATGGCCATGGAGAAAGCATCTATCCAACCCCCATTTTTATCCTTTTATATTGTAATTGGCCTCTCAACATAAAAGGCCCTTGGAAAAAGCATGTATCCAACTCTCTCATTTTTTTGCCTTTTCATATTAGTTATCTTAACAATTATCTTTTTAATGTCCTCTGACAAAGAGCAGAGTGAAACACAATCTTCTTTACTTGCACTCATATCTCAACCATCTAAAAGAAAGTAAGCATTGATAGCATTCTCAATGGTAATGGTAATATTAGCCATTTCTCTATAAGGAAACATTCATTGACTGAGCAGCCAGTACTGTTTTCGGTTGAAATTTATAAAAAAACTTCCTCTTAAAACAGGTCTCTCAAATTCTGTAGCTTTTATTGTTCTTTCCAGTATTCTGCTGAACCTTCTATTTGAAGTGGTGTGGAATATTAACATTTTAATTATGTCATTATTTTCTTTTTAAGTTACATGTGCTATCCATTTTATTTGTTGCTGCTGTTGGTAGTCTTCAAGTGATGTGGTTTTTGTTATTTGGCACAGTCCTTTGTGATTCTATAGTGCCAGTCCACAATGTTCAAAGAAGGATTTACTCGCTCAAAGCTTTTTTTCACTACTGATCTTAGGAAGTGGTTGTGTACAGCTGACAGTTTAGATATTTCTGAATGAGTTTGGCACTATTCATAGTATCCATATGAAAGTCTTGATCTGACAAGACTATTTAAGATCATGACTCAAGTTTTCAGTTTAATGTTTTAGTTTCGTAGCAATTTCAGGTTTTGAGTAAAACTATTTCTGGCAGAGCCTATTCTATGTTCAATTTCTTTTTCTCCCATACTTATTGATATATCTGATCCATACGCTGAGGTATCTGAAGTGTTTAGTATTTACTAAATTAGCAAAAACAAATTCTGATGTTTGGTCATTTGATCAGATCTTGCAAAGTGGGTCAGACTGTGAACTTTTCAGCACCCCCTTACAATAAAAACAGAGATGAGGATATTAGTTTGAATAAAGTGTATCTATGTACATGGCGCCATAATAAAATGCTCATTATAGAATCAAGTTTCTAAGGAGAAGCTGAAAAAAGAAGATTGGTTATATAAGTTTTCATTCAAGTGAATCATTTTGCAAGTGAGAAAGTTTGCGTTCACACATGATGAGCAAATGAATTGAAATGTTATTCAAAAATGACTGGTTATTGAAAAGAGCACCTGTACTCATGCAAAAATAAAAACTAAACAAAAAAATGCCAATTTGTGGATTTTGTAAGCCAACTTGGCTTTTTAAAACTTAAAAGTGAACAGTGGGAAGACAGTATGTTTGCAGCTGAGAAAAAACTGAATGGTGTTTCAAACTCAAAACACAGCCAACAGCAGAGAAAGACTTTTCACAATGTTTTGGTAGTAAGTTTAGTGTTACTTATACAACTATGTAAAAATTTCAGATAGAGTATATCTGTAAACGACTATATGACTGATGGCAAAAGCAAAACTTATCTTAGCCGATATGTTTCATCCTCTGAGAGACTTTACCAAAGCAAGTGCAAGCATTTTATTTTGTAACAAGTATTTATATACAAGAGCAAAAATGTTATTTGTTTTTTAAATTTAAGAATGCTCATAAATATTCATCAGGTTAGCTGAAAAGTCAGGCAAGCTATGGAGGATGTAAAGTGACACAATTCAATGTCTAATAACAAAAGCAAGTAAATGATATTCTTGAAATTTTTTTTAATGTAAATTAGTGATATGTCCCAGAAAGGGATATATTTGAACGAAGTAGCTAAGTGGTTTTGGCTACTATAACCAAGTAGAATACGGTAGCAGTAATCAACTGGTACGCGTCGTAGTCACATGTAAGAAGTGTAGACCAATGGCGTAGTCCAATGGGTGTCGTTATAGACTTAGCTCTCAGACTAAAGCTCTGACTCTCCTACACATCCAGCCAATCATATTCCAGTGAGGGGGAACACAGGTGTATGCATATTCCATTATATCAATTAGTATTTAAATTATTTTAGTTTTGGATTAATTTATGTTTAATATATTTTAAATAACATGAGGTTATGAATTTAACAATTTACTTTTAATTTTTTAAAAATTTTTAAATATATATTTTTTATGTATGCTGGCTTGGGAAAGTAGTAATTCTTTCA